GGGGAATAAGTATTATGGAAAAGATGCCTGGGCAGAGTGCCCACCACCAGCATATGTTAGTCATCTAAGGGACAAATCCTGCTCTGAACACTTCGTGTATTTTCCGATTTCAGGGAGGATGTAAGCAATGAATTGAAGCAACAGCTGTGAATTATGCAAGAGATAATTGACCACACTGTATTTTGCCATGATGTCAGACTTGATTCTCTGCTACCCAACATCCAGAGTAGCTATTTGCACTTAGATGTTAGGAGTGCAACATTGGTGCAACTCAGTATTATAAGGTTGATTACAGAGATCATACTTGGTAGACTAGCTGTGAAGGAACTTACTGTACACAGCAACATGTAATCGTGAATTACACCGACTGCCAGGAGTGCTCCAGATTTGCCGGGATGAGAGACACCACATTAGCACAATGCGGTGTCCAGTAAAAGCTAAACCACGTGGCTAATTGTATTCCTAATTGTTAATGCTTCCAAGACCAAACAGTCTGGAGCCTAGAGTACAGCGTGCAGATTCTTTTACCACCACCTGTTCAAAATAGAAGACTGATTGAGAAGGTTTCTTAGCTAGAATCATTATATTCAGGCATTACATCCATTTTTCACTTTGCCAATCCTTCCTCTCCTGCATATCCAAGGCACAAGTCATACTGGGGTAGCAGCAAAGGCCTACTCCATCACTTTATCCCAGCCTTAAGATGACGTTTAGACCGAATGTGATGCCGATACATGTGCTGCACAGCCAGAATATATTCCAGGAGACTTGTTTTTTGTTTAAATGGACATCCTATTTTCAGTCAGTTCCCTAAGGGTGACTTCGAAGCCACTAGACTACCATTTTGGGGTAATACTCAAAATTAGTAAGTCCCCTAAACCTTAAAATGGGAGGATGTGCCACAAAAGTGTTTCTCTCAAACTTCTGCGCTACATAACAGATTACATCAACAAAACCTGCACAACACTGTAAAATTAGCAAGCATCTCGAAGCAAGATGGGACCCAGAAGAACATTCTACAGAATACATAAAACCAAACTCAAACAGCATGAAAAAAGTAATTTTTATTTTTATTGTTTACAAAAGCACGAACACCTTATGCAAAAGCAGCATCCTGAACCATACATTTCCCACATCCTCCTGGGATATTGGCAGAAAGCAAGTATTTTCTTTGTTCTTTAGGGTTAAATGTACATTGCTGAGGTAATTGGGAACCACCCCACTGATTTCCATGGAGCTCTGACTGCTTACGTTAGCAAAGGGGCCAACTCATCAGAGTTTTGCTCTAGGTGCCAAATTGGCTTAGTCTGTGCTTCTAACCAAGATGAATACACTATCCAGATACTTAATGAGCTCTCCATTCTCTTTAATTTTAACTGAAAGATCTAATTTAAAATATCTGTTTAAACATTATCACTCTCATCCCACACTAACTTCATGCAAGGTTTAACTTTATGCACCATGAACAATTTTACTCAATTTTTTAAGAGAGAGCAAGTGTGCTTATAAGCTATTTAGGAGTGAGACCTTTCAGCACAATAGCCATTTACTCCTTTCTTATCTGCCTCCCCAGCACATGGAGGTCAAGTGCTTACTCTGAAGAAACGTGCCCTAAGGTTAACCTGAAAAAAAATGTGCAGCATTCTTATTTTGCCTTCATCTTTTTCTCCTGATCTGGAGCTGAAAGTATTTAATGGTCACATAATCAAATAGGCCATGCTTTTGAACCTACAGAGAAACATTTATTTATTTATTAAAAAAGTGTTCTGTTAAATAGAGAATTTGACTGCAATGACTTCAAAAGACTTACCTGGAGCAAATTACTCGTAATGTTTCCTAAAACGATCCCTACTATAAAACAGCGTAATTCCTCAGCTCCTCCAAGTTGAGGTCCCTCCCCTCAGAATCTACAACTGATGCCTCAAAATATTTATTACACTGGGAGAAATGGCTCTGGCTTGTCTGCCATCCTATGTCTAAAATGACTGACAAATGCTATTTATGTCTGCAAGACTGACATTGGATCTATGGATCAACGAAAACTGCTTCATTTTACTGCTCGAGCTGTAGGAACTGTTCTATTAGCTCCTGCCAACTTCACATTAAAGAAATGTAAGTTACTTCACATATTGAAAGAACCTGCTAAGAACCCATATATATATATATACACACACACACACAATGTATGTGTACACATATACATACACACACATATATAGATAATCTGTATTTATTTTACACTGACAAAGTGCTAAAAGGATCCAACAACTGTCACTGCTAGAGATGAGACTAAATGAAACGGTATCAGTTATATGGCATCAAATAATTATGAGACTCTGGTCCAAGAGCTTCAGAACTGTTAGCAAAAATGCGTCTTTCATTGGCAAAAAAGAAAAGTTCCAAATGGTTTGAATTTCACTTTTAAATAAACTGAAAGCATTTAGAAAAAAAAATTTAAAAAAAACCACCATGCAAAGTAGATTTTAGAATTTAAATTTCAGCTCTGTGTATAGCAAACACACACAATTATACACATATTCTATTACTTTCATAGCAAAATCCTGAGGTGCCTTTTACTCAATGATGACTTTAATGAATCTGGCAGTATCTCACATGTGCATCATTGCTTCAAATTTTGAAAAAGAAAAAGCTGTACAAGTTCAGCCCTGTATTCTGTGAATCTGGCTGCATAGGTAGAAACAGAAGTATTGCACTCAAGATCACGCCTACAAAAATGCACATTTAATAAGGCCATTATATTCAAGATCATACTGAGACTCAAGTCACATGAACAACCAAATATATCATAAATAGACCTAGGAAAACCATATTGCAGAAGATGGACTCAAAACAGCAGTGTTCCAGCAATTTAATAACTGATTTTTTTTTTTTTCCATGAAATGCCAATCTCTCAAACTGTTTTCACCTACAGGGCCTGACAACACGATGCGTATGTATGCATGCATTCTCACAATGCGTTGTTTCATTTTTTCTTAAAAGTTACCAAGTGCTCCAGAGTTTGAGGGTAGGATTCTACTCAAGTTCTGCCAATAAGGTTCAAGTTGTTATCAACTTTAAGCAGCTTCCATGCATGATGAGGGGAGAGAAGATTTGACTTTCAGTTATTTAAATATTTGCCAACATGCAAGACATAATTCTTACTTTACAAAGTGTAGCAAAGACATAATTGAACCTGTGCTGGAATACTTCTCAGTACGCTCTTTCAGAGCTAGATCACATTAGGAGTATCAGTTTATCTGGTCTGGCTTACTGAAAGAAAGCCAGAGCAAACAACCAATTTAACACAATACAAGGAATGATACAGGTTTACAAGTTAGCTGCCCACATCCCATAGCAAATAGAAAGAAGCTACCCTTTAATCAAAGTGGGGTAAGCTACCTTGAATTTACAGTAGGGTAAGTGTATTCACACCAGCCATTACCTTGGAGTAGCAGGTGTGTTGTAAATCTGCTAGTTTGCTTTGTAGTTATTTGCTCCTTTAGCCATTCCAAAGTTACCCAGCCAGCCAGCATTTTGGCTTGGTTAAGGGTAGTGCCATTTGTTCAAGAAGGAAGGGTAGACCACTATCCCTCTTCCCCATGCCACAATACATAAATACATAGTTATGCAAATGCAAAAAGCATCAGTACAAAGGCTGGAAGAATCACAAGACACAGCAGATCGGAAACTTAATGGTCACATGCATTACAGGTCAGCAGAGACATTCTTTCACAATCCTATATTCTGCTATAAAATCCACAGTGGTGGAGATTATGGATGAACTACCTTCCAGCTGAATCAACTCCAGCATTAGGAATTATTTCTGAATACAGCAGACTATGTCCAACCCTTTTTTTCCTAGGACCTATTTTTTGGGTTTAGACAGTTTTTAGTACAGAGACAAGAGGCAAACCTGAGACACAGAAGATGTGACCTGTTTGCATATTATAAACAGACAAATGGATAATCAAGGTGCAAAAACTATTAAACATGTCACACAGCTACACCTACAGCTCTGTGTACTTTTTTCCTGCAACAATGGTGTCACTTGCTGGATGCAGGTTTGTCACTAACTACGAATATGGTTTTGACCAGAGCTGGGAGGAATGCATTTAGACAGCAACAACACAGCTCTTGCAGTGATGAGCACGGATCATGGGAGTTCAGGATATGGTTTCTCATTCCACCCCTGTCTTATACTCCTTGCATGCTGAGCAACTCAAAACATGTCTCTTAGTAATCACATTATTTGGAAGGAGAATAACTCTTTCCATATTTTCTTCACAAAAGGAGCAGTAAGAAGTCCATTAATGTATCACGCAAGAGGAAAAGCTGTCTAGAAGGCTTCTACTTATATTAGCAGTTTTGACTAAAACTGATTAGCAGAATCACTTCGTCAATTAGGTTGAAAAGAGCCAAGAATATTTTGGGAATAGAGTTTCAGAAGCTCAACTCTGACATTCACATTAAAATAGTGGCCTGACTACTAGCAATACTTTGTCTGCAAGTGTCTAATCAAATAGAGTTTTGATGGGTATCTAGCAGTAGCAGCATTTTCAATGTTTTATGTTTGCTGTATTTAGTACTTTTTAACCGAATTCTCTCTCCCAATAAAGTGACTGTCTTGTAGCTAGCATGACTACCCATACACACAGCATTTCTAAATGGAATTACATATTGTTGTTTTCTCTCCACCATAATCTTATCTTACCATTTTCAGTATCAGTCAGCACCACAAGTTCAATGCAGGTCATGGACAACAAGCAGCAGACCTACTTTTACTGCTTCCTTCAAACAATGTATTGTTTCATATTTATATATTCTTAAAATGTTTTCTTCACTTAGCTATACTAAAAGTACCACTCCAAAATTTAAGTTTACTTTGAAAAAGGTTATTGATGACTTCACCAAAAAATACCGCCAAAAATCCTTTTACTCCCACAGGAAATCATATTTTCTCCTGAATTAGTGTTAACGGATATTTATATTAGAGGACTCCATATTTCAGAAACCAGTTATTTCATGCTCAGTATTCTTTTCAGCAGATGAAGAGGTAGGTATATTTCCACACAAGACAAAAAAACACCAAACTGTAACAGACAATTAAATCAAGTAATGTCTGAAAAGTCAAACACTGTTCTGACAGCACATAATGTGTCTGAAGATACTCTCCAAGGAGGACAAGAAAAGTTGCACATTCTGATAAGATAATACGTCATAATTTGAAATTTAATAATTTTCTGGAAAGAAAACACAAGTATCCAAATGCTACTTCCTTCCCCTCCCTCCCCCAAAGAAATGTGGGTGCCAACAAAACTGCCTGTATCAATGGTAGTATTAACTTTTGGAGTGCTAAACATGGAATCAACTGCAATTCTTCCTTACATTCACCAACACCAGCAGTCTACAAGTTTACACAGAGACCATATGCATGATAATTACATAATTACAATAGGAATTCAACTTTAGTGTTGTTCTTAAAACAATCTTCATAAATAATGAAAATATCTGTGTTCTAGCTCTTCAGTAACCTAAGGTTAATTGGTACAGATAGTGTTTTTTTCTTCCTTTTATAAACCAAACTGGAGGTTCCTCACTGCCAACAATGGTTAAGGCCTGGATCAAGTTATTCTCCTTTTGCTTTTCCCTTTTTCTGCTTTTTTCCATTTTCCACCACTGCATTATATTCTGGTTTGCTTACTCCATTTGCAACAGCACCATTTGCTATTTTGCCATTCTTTACGGGTTCCTTGGGCAGCTTATATGTCCGATAGTAGAAGTTACCAAACAGGAAAATGAAGGTGACAGCATAGAAAATTACACCCCAGTGCATCCATTTAGGGAAAGGACAATCAATATAAATAGACAAGGCTGTGTGGCCAATAGTCACATGGAACTGCACCTGAAAGACAGAAAATATAGAATGAAAAAGGTCTGGATATATTCTGTAGGTCTGACTGCACCAATGTATACCAACGCATTAAGTTATGAAAACTGCTAAATTGGGAGGCAGTAGGGAAGCTGTATTTGGCTGTCAGATCATGCATGCACACATATGCTTGACCAGGGATATCAAATTTATCGCAGTACCTGGCACCAGTTTTCAGAAATAGGAAAATGAGAAGACATTAAGAGATCTGGATTTTCTCTACCTTTTGAACAGGTTTTTGCAATTCAGTTGAAACAACCAATAAGTAGTATTAGACTTCACTCACACAACTCTTATCTATGCTGCTTATTTTTTGAGAAATGAAATAAATACTTCCATCTCCAGGAAGTATTCTGACTTCAGCTGTGAGTATCAGACAGCTAACAACTTCTGCAAGAAGCAGCATCTGTTCCAAAGCTCTGCAAATGCAAATCCACTCAGAGGCAGTACCTTCTGAGATACAGAGGAATTTTACTTACCAATTGCAATATAGTCAAGTATCGTTTCCACCACAGGTATTTCTGAAATTTAGGGCCACATGCAGCTAATCCGTAATACATGTACATAATGACATGAATAAATGCATTCATCTGAGCTCCAAAAAAAGCTGTCCAGGAACAGAAGGGAAGATTATCATGTAATTTTGACACACACACACACAAAAAAAAAAAAGAGAGAGAGAGAGAGAGAGAAGTCTTTTCTAGTATTATTCATGTGATAGTAAAAATTATAAAGCACAGGACATGCCAGGATTCCATCTTTGAAATATTCAATAGTATAGTATAGACCTGTCTGCCAACATGTGCTGACACAAATAACTGTTCATGCAAGTAGTATGTCACATCTTTCATGGAACTACTTATGCAAAAGCTTTTCATAAGATTTTTGTTGAACAGAGATAAATCACATAGATTCCACATTAGTTATTGTACTATAACTGCAATTGTTTTGCTAAAGGATTATTAAAAGCTCTATTTGACAATGTAAAGTATAAAGTATTAGGTTCTGAACTCAAATCTTTTAAACTGTATTTAAAGGCACAAGGTTCACTTCTCAGCAAGAAGTCAGGAAACTTATATGGAAGTCTGATTAAACAGGCCAAAAAATCATACAAAGCAAAACTTCACTTGTGGTTATAAGACATCTAAGGGCATTGCCAAGTGAGTTTGTCTAAATTGCTCATCTTTTGTTTCCTTATTTATGACTTAAAATATCCAGCATTCTTAAATATATAAATGTACAGTATAACTTTTTCCAGAATGATCCATGCTGGAAACGAAGATGACAGTTCTCATTTGCATTAAGATCTCTTTGCTCTGTCAAGATTAGCAGCCATTTAACAGAAACAAATTATATCTTGTTAAGGTGGTCTTACAGTGCCAGAGAGGCTCAGTAAGGCTCTAATGTGTAAGATTAGGGCAATACAGACAATAGCTGCTGACATCAAACAGCTCAGATGCCCATGTGGTCTAGACCAAGTTAGTTATAATAGGGCCTAGTTTATAATAGATCTATGTAAGCAATGTGCTATCAACTAGAAAACAGAAGAACATAGATCTATCCACATTTATGCAGTAGCACTACATAAATGCAGAAGAGCAACTATTGCTCTTCCTTTTGCAGGGGCTAGACACTAAGAGGCAGTGCAAGAACACCAAAACTTGAAATAAATTTGGAAATGGTTGCAACTGTTGTATTGAAAACTACTGATATATAGCCTGAAAAGTCTGAAAAGCCAACAAGGGGGAGGGCATTTTGAGATATCCACGGAATTTCTAAGTAAGACTACAAGTAAGCATCCAGTCTCCAATAAACTTATTTTATGGGCGCAGTAGCCAATAAAGATCATGAAGTGTCTGGTTGAGTACCTGCATCCTGCAGATTACTTGGGAGAAATTCAAGGATAGTCACAGATACTCATTTTAAATATTTCTTCTTTTGAATATAAGTAACCACTCACTACAAGATATCTATAGTAAAGAAGAGCATAAACCCCCCCCATGCATTAAGTATTAGTGTGGTTTGACAAAAAAAAACCCAAAATATTAGTTTGGTGTAGTGTTTACAGTATGTTATTTTCAGTGTCTTAAGCCTACAAAGCACATTACAAACAAAACAGGGTATTTTCCCTGAACCCTCAGCTCTGTAGAGCTTATAATTTGAAAGAGACAAGGCAAAACAACAGGAACAAGGGTACAATGCAGGCAAGGGAGGATGGGGCAAGTACAATGGAATAAAATTCTTTGATGGGGGCTTTAGAAAGGAAGCAAGAAAAAAAAAAAGGCTGATAATGAATTATAGACTTATGTCATTATGAATAGGTTTTAAAAGTTAATTGACCGATTTATCGGCTCACCTTCACAGGAAGGTTTCAGAATTTTATACATGCCTCTCTAAAAAAAAAGAAGGCAAACCCCAAACTCAGATACAAGGCCAAAATAACGTCTCCATTAACTTCATTACATTTGCACACAGATTGTGGCCCGTAATTAGATTTTGCAGTTCTCTGTATCTGCAAAAATTAAAGTTAGGCAAGACACCTTCATCTTTCTATTTCATACAGAACAAGGATAATTTTGAAGACAGAACTTCAGGCTTGCAATTGATGCCCATGAGGGAAAAAAAAAAAGTTTTGCAATTCATTAGATTATTGCCCTGTTATCTTTTCCTCCCCCAGGTTTCCCACAGAGGAAGACTGTATGCATTAAAGCTACTGCACTGCTTCAGTGCTATTTAAACACTTTATATTATATACTTGTATATTATAACGTTAAGTCTACAAAAACTTTTCTCCATTGCTCCCAAACAATAATAACTCTCCCTTGTGTCCAGTGAAAAGGGTATAGAAGGAAGGGAACTCACCTTGTCCACCTGCAACCCACTTAATACCAATCCACCACAAGGTAAACATGGTAAAATGGTGATAGACATGAAGGAAACTAATTTGGTTAAATTTCTTCCTCAGGATGAAGAATACTGTATCCAAATATTCAATTCCTTTAGAGACATAATACCACCATAAAGCAGCAGCTATCTGAAACGAAAGAAAAGACAACACAGAAGTTTTAGTGATTCCAAGCTGAACGGAATAAAGTTCTCTCCACCTATCTGCTGCAAAAGAAGGATACCTCTTCCTTCCCCAAATCCTGGTACATGTTGAGGTGGAGTCATCAAACATCTGACAGCATGAGAACAACAACAAAACCAATAGTCCATTCATCTATTCTGGACGTGGAAGTATTATTCTGAGTCTACTGCTCACAAGTCACAACCTTAAAAAAGGGCTAACATAATTAAAAACTTTGCCATCTCTGAACAGTTACCAGTTAAACACAAGGAGTTTGTGTCCTCATTCTCTATCCTAAGCTTCATGAGAGAAGACTACCACAGGGCTTCCTGTACTAATGAGGCAACACTTTGATGTGGTCAGAACAACGAGGCAGAAACATTATGATAAAATGAAGTTGCAAAGGTTGAAACCTTATATAAAATTCTTTCAGTACCACAGGCATATAGGTGGGAAGATACTAAATCACTCTTACAAGCTAGGTGCGGTACAGATTTTGCATCCCTTAGAGCAATATTCCCCTCAGCTTCTTCTGGTGTGCTCAGTAAGCCCCTCTGGAAAGCAGTATTCCCCCAGTGGCTCTGTGCCATTCAGGGAAGAGAAGAAATGAGACCACAGGAGCCACACAAGCTGTAGAGATATAACCCATCTACCCAACAGGGCAGTGCTACACACACAAAATTTTTTTCTAATCCACCCATCACAGTGAATCTTGCCCAAGATGCAAGATAAACATGGCTTCCTGCTGAAATCAGGATATTGTTGTACCAGGTAAAGCCCAGAAGCTGTGCACAGCAATTTGCTAATACTATGATATGGGGGTATGGTGGTGGTGGGGACTCCCTTCCAGATCCCAAAGCATAGCAACAAGTCTAGTTCCTGGCATTGTAAGTCATCTAGCTCGTTATGCAAGGGTGGGACCAGAACATATCCCAGATGGTGACTCACATGGAGAATGAAGGGAAAAAAAAAAAAGTTGGAAATGGCACCACCAGCAAGGAAAGCAAGCAATGTCACAACACACATATTTGTAAGAAGTTCACCTGGTTTTTCAGGACTCATCTGATGGCAAATCAGACTTTCTTACCTTAACATAGTGTGAAATAACCCCGCCACCCCCTCAGTCCCCAGGGGAGACAGAAGAGAAAAAGTGAAGACAGCAGTAGCTTCCCTTCCCAAATATAGACATACTGTTAAGCAAGTGAGAGAAAGGGGAATTAGGACAACGAGCAGTACAGAGCAATGCTACAGCCTTGCATGATGTTTTCCTCCACCTCTCCAAACTAGTGGGAAAGGAACGCATCTCTCCTCAGAGTAAGCTTGTCACAGCCATCATTGGACTGGTGAACATTTTAGGAGAGATTACAGCAGAAGCAAAAAAGCAGCACGGGAGCAGAAGAGTGTCGCAGATCTGCATTGCAGACTCCGCAGTTTCCCAAAGGGACTGCACAACTTACTGTTGCCAAACTGCAGACTTCTATGTATCCATTAATGAATACCCTTCTCACTCTCTGGACGTGATTTAGCCTACTTCAGGTCTCAGGAAGAGGAGGTAGATTTTGTCAATTTTATATAAAAAGATACTAATATCTGTTAAAGCTGGAGAGAGGCTTAATGAGAGAAAAGTGACTCCCACAGATCTTGGAGTTCCCAGATACGCAGGCAAGCTGCAAGAACCATCAATGTATAGATATTTATGTTGCTCAATATCCAGTACAGTTCTGCCTCTGGGACAGGTAGTCAGGTGTTTAATAACACCCACATCAAGGCTTTGTCTCACACCCATGGATTAGCATAACAGTCCAGCATCTTTTACAGATCTTTGCTAAAGCTGCATCTCTTAAATAAATTAAGATAAGCATCTTTTCATCTCATGAGTGAACAATAAACACTTTGGACTATATCTATAAAACAGCAAGCCAGCACTACAATACTCAAACTCTTTGGAGGTCCTTCCTTCTGAGAAACTTTTAAAGAATCAATAGGTCAGTTACAAGCAAACTGCAAAGCTGATGTTCATTTTGTTAAAGAATCAGTGGAACAATAAGCCAAAGAGCCAATTTACTGTATGAAATAGAGCAAAATGTAAGTGGAGAAAAAACCAACAAAAAACTTTATGTTTTATGCCCAAGATGCCACAGGTTCACTCTATGCTCCTGGACAAGTCATTTAACACACCTCATTCCTCTTCTTTTGAATTCCACCTGCCTTGCACAGAAAGCAATTACAACCCACGGGTCAAAATCAGCTGAACTTTTGATCAAAATGCTTCCCATCACTTAAGAACAAAAATAGCGTCCATTTCTTTGCAGGATTATACCTGCTAATTTTTGTGTTCCTGTAGATTTTGTTGCCTGACAGCTCTTTTGCTCTCTTCCTATCATAAAATTTTACTACCATTTATTCTCAAACCCAACAGGTTTTTTGTACTGATGATCTATTTCAGTGCTCCCAATGACTTATACAGATGTTTTGATTATTAACTTATAGATGCAGAAAAAATGAAACAGATGTTAAGTCACTTGCCCGCAGCCATGCATGCAATCAATGACAGAGGGCAGAAATAAAGTAGGACAATACACAGATATGTAAGCTATGTCAGGAGCAGATAGCTACTATTAAACTTCTTCCGCAAAGCATCAGAAGTTAGGACCTAACCTGCAGCCTTTCTTTGGACACAGTATGAAAGAAAGATTGAGCTTAAAAGAAAGTATGCATTGAAAAGGCATATTCCTAAAATGAGTAATACTACTCACAACCATACCTTTTCTGGCAATTTTCATATGCGCCAATCTAAGTCAGTTAAAACACCAGATGGCACAGAAAGATTACATTACAGCCTAGGATTAAGGGGGTCAACAAGAGGTCCAATCCCATGACCTCTGCCTGCTGCAGGGTTTTTGAATGGAGGGCTGTTTATCTGGGACTCCATTCCTGCACTCTCCTTCCACATTTCAGGTTGGAGACAGTTATCCGCTAAGGGGTTTGAAGGGACAGGTACTTCTTAGAAGGTAACAGTAACATGAAAAATTAAAGCGGCTTTTAAAGAGAACTCTTTTCCCTGCTTCAGTTTAGAATTTTGTTTACAGGACCATGAAGTCTATTTTGTTAAGTCAGGTTCCCTTTTTACATAAGTTTAAAGTAAATTATTATTATATTTATTTCATAAGAGGAAGCTACTCAAGGTCTAGACATAAATACAAACAATGCAGATTACAATTACAATACAGAAGACAACCACAGCTCAGCTTTATGATTATGATCAGCACACTTAAAACTAGGAGCTAACTAATTCACATAGCCACAGATTCCTAATTCTCAGCTCTCCAGAAATGCTAATAAACAGATGAACCTTGAGTTGGGAAACAAGGACACACAAATATAAGCAGAAGAGGAAAGTGACTACTCACAGACACTAACATGCCTTAAGTTAGACAGTATTAGGAAATTGTTCACTCCAAATACTGGAGCTTCCAAAGGAATACTACAAAGCATGCCCTTTGCATTTATTGTTTTGACTCCTAAGCTATAACCAAAAAAAGTTCTTCCAAGATGCAGCTACAGCTCCTTCAAAATCCCTTCTTGGGGATTTCTTCCCCCTTTTCTTTCTTCTCTACTATGAACATTTTGTAATAACCAATTACAAAACACACTCCTCAACTTCCTGCCAGCAGTCAGTAAGGTGGCTATCTACTACACCCAGAAGATAAGGCCTTTAGAAAGGAGTTTATTTCTGCAACTGTGGAATCTAATTTCCACCCCTGCTTGCTCCAGTCATCCATTGCCTCTTGTAGAACAACAGCCAAGGGAGCCTGGATGAGATTAACAGGTGTAGGTAGCTTCAAAACAGTACGTAGGAGGATCAACTTCTTCATACTATGTGTAAACTAACTACAGTACTAATTGTCAGTGAAAGCCAGAAGCTGGATAAAGTTGAAGAAAACATACAAACTCATGGAAGAATATCCCCTTAAAAACTGGCAAAACAAAAAGGCTATGTCTGACTTAAGAGGTCTGTAAGCTGCAAATCGCTGGTGTTGCTAGACTATACAGGGGAGGTGTCACCACATACCCTTACGCTGTTCCCTTGAAATTACCTTTGGCTTACTGTCTTTAGACACAATGTGGGTTGGAGAGGAGAGGAAAGACGTTCTCTGCACTGAGGATAGCCAAGCTTTTTTTTTTTTGAACCATTTACCAGCTCTCTGTATTCCCTGGAGGAACAAAGGATGGTTTCTTGACCCCTCATTTTGAGCAGGAGCTCTGGTCAAAAGGGGCCACTACATGGCAACATCATAGTGGCACATTCGCAAAAAGATTGAAACAGAGGTCATACCAGGACTTCTAAGTTCCCATTTAGACTACTATACGCAATTAGTTTCACATTTCTCAGTATTTGTTCCAGCTTTTTAAGCACCACAATAAAGTCATATATGAAGCTGTTGCTTTCCAGAGCATGTTCCATAATGCATTCTGGGCTCAGTGCTGTTTCCATTTGAGTTAGTCCCAGTCTCCTTTATCTGATGAACACAGGACTCATGTACTCATTCTCTTACAAATAAAGTTATTGCATTTGTAATTAATTCTACTGTTGCAGTGCAGCTTTCCTCTTCAGAGAAAACCTGGTGCCAATAGATACTAGACATTTAGTATCGAGATCTACTAAAAAAGGAGATGTGATACAAGGTATATCAATTCTAAACTCAAATCTGCAAACAGAAGCCCACATTTACTTACATTTTAAAATTGCTTTTGCAGGTTTATATTAAGAAAAATGACGGTGAAAGGAATCTTGAGGAGGTTTGGGGTTTTTTTTTGTCCTATAAGTGTCAAAACCCAACAACATACCTTCTAAATGCAGAGCATTGTACTGTAAAGCAGGCCAGAAATGTGTCCTAGACTCTTTAGTTAGGCAAAGTACACTTGTGGAAAGCGTCATTTTCTACTTACAACTTATTAACCTAAATTGAGAATTCATTCAAAAGAACTACTGGATAATGATCACGATAAGGGTCTTGACTGATAACATACTATACAGTTCCTGCAACAATTTGAGAGAACTCAATTTTCCCTGCTTCCTCAACTCTCTCAGTTGCAGACTGAACGTTACAACTTAAAACTTTAGAAATAAAGTTTATGCAAATCCGCAAGTTTACAAAAAAACTGAAAAAGTCAGGAAATCCAAAGAGTAGATATTGCTAGAGCAACCTTTCTTTTCTGGACATATCATATGCAATAAATACATTGTGCAGGTCAATTTGCCTTTATTTCATTGTATAGTAACGCTTTGTTTGTCATAATGACCAAAACAGAAGATAATTCTTTTCAGCAGGTCTGACCCCTGCACAGCCTTCCACAAACAAGTGCACCTAAAAGTGAGGTTATGAAACAGAATTTTTGCATACTAAAAGTCACTACCTTTTATAAAAATTCCTTCAATATATGCCATACCAGTTCTTAATATCATCCAGCTGAATACAAGGGCATTCTATTTTGCGTATCTACTAAAAAAAAAAACCTGTCAAGCATTTGTTATACTTGGCTAGATTTTGTCTTTAAACAAAATTATTAACAGAAGTATTCTAGTGACTGGAATAGTGAGTGCACAGTATTGGCAAAGGTGAAAGATAGGCGACTACCGTAAGGCCAATAAAGATCTGCACACAGCGTTGTTCTGCAATATCAGCCATTATACATAAGGTGTAAGACTCGAACCTCTCCTTCTTACTACCATCTCTGCCATGCGCACAAGCTTTTGAGTAATACTACCCATGAAGCCATGTCTACTCTTGTAGATATTTTTTGAAATGTGTTATAAATATTAAATGTATTTAGACTATAACACGCTTTCATTACATTTTCAGGAATGTGTTCTAATCTGTAGATGAAACTTGCAAGAAGAGCTGAGAGATTCTCAAGTGTCAGCTCTGCTGGAAGATAAGGCTTAGTACATGAGCTAATCAACGTTACAGAAGTTAACAAGCGTCTGCACTTTGATTTTAATTTGAAAGCTTTCCAAAAAATACACATTTGAAATCTAAGCTTCTGCAGTGAAATGTACTGATAATACACTTGCCAGAAGCCAGCAAGACCTCATGAAGCCAAATATGGGTAAAGGAGACAAAAAGTTACCTCACCAGTACAAGTGAAGTGCAACCAGAGTATATGCTGACAAATCTTACTTGCTTTGATCTAGCTAGAACACTACACCTTTACTGTGGTTACCCTAGTATCATAAACTTCAGCAAGGTCTAGTAACCAAAGTATGTATACAAAGCTTATCATGGATTGTACAACCGCGGATGAAGCCAAGGATGGTATCTTTAAGACTACTCTTACTTGTAGCAGTCAGATGAAAGTTAATGCAAATACACTGATGCACTTTGATTAAACCTGCTATATGCGATGTAGTCCAACCTGAAGCGATCTGTGAGAATATAACGGGATACAGTCATGGCTGACAGCAGAACTTTGGAAACACTATTTTCAGACAAGACTTAAACCATCATGTAGTGCTATATATTGCACACGTTCATATACAAATACAAAAAAGAAATACTCACCCTAACTTCATAAACATTATCTGAATAATCCACAGTCTGGCAGACATAGCTGTACCCTCGAGCTCTTGATGACAAAAACAGCTGAAAATATTAAAGTCATACATGAGGGGAAAGATGCTACATAAGACATGTTCATAACAATTATCAGCAGATTTCTTGCTACATCAAACTTACCTGAACAGAAATATTTAAAATATCCTTATCAGTCCTGAGAATACTATTGAAGAACACTATTCTAACAACCTGTTGTTACACAGTACCTATTTTTTTTCTTGCAAATTAAAAAGAAAGTACTGATTTGTCCCTGCATGTATCTGCCCAGATAATTAGAGCCCTGTACAAATTAGTAAGAATTCCAGTATGACCTTAAGCTATTCAAACATGAGTATTTACTCTGATAGCTCTAGCTTCAGAGACAGAAAATACCTAATTACTTTCACTACGAATGACAGAAACACTATTCCCATGATGGATTAGAGAGAACTCTCTCCAATAGACAGGGATTAGATAATTTGCTACTTTTCTTAAAACAGTATACCAATCAAAATCCAGAAAAAAAACCCCTGAACAGCCAATGCTGAGCACCCATAAAACATTGAGAGAAACTGGATAAAGAAAAGTTCTCTGTTTTGTGCCAACAGAAACGGCCTAAAGCACATGAAGTGCTCTCGTAAGGCCACTCCAAATAAAGCACATTGCAACAACCTGAACAGGAGAAGATAAACTTGACATTTGAGCAAGTTCCCATTGGAAAAAAGAACACTTGCCTAGAGCTGTACAAGGTTCAAGTAATACTTCCAATCTTGACATTCATAAATTTTATGATCCAAGATTGTTTAAAGCCAGGTAATCCCACCCTGTTAAGGATCAAAAAAGACAACAGTGGAGCAGACATAACCTGTAAATTGTGAGCTGTAGAAGTAAAGAAGAGTGATACAAAAAGATCTCCAAAATAAACATGGGTAGGCACTAACTATTCTTACCACTAACCTGACTTCCATCTCATTCCATTTCATTCCATCTCAGATTGAATTCAAGTTTACTTCGGTATCTCAACTAGCACACAACACTAGGAGCGCAGACAGATGCCGAGATAAGTGTTACCCAGATAAAACCAACATACAAAACCTGGTGAAACTCTGGACCGACTTGCTGCACATGTCTGTTAAGGAGGGAAGTGAAAGAAACATCCACAGAAGTGATCCTAAGAAGGAAATTGAACTACTTCTGCATCATCCAAGTCCATTTACAAACTGCTGTAACACCACTACTCTCCAGTGTGGTCCCATACAGGCACGAGCACATTTGATAGTATCAGAGAAAAGCAGGAAACAGTTTAGTCTGCACTGTTACAGAAACTAACCAATCTCTACTGTGACCTACTGGGTAATTTGACCAAGGTTCACCTGGCAAAAGGCAGTAAATTGACTTCACCAGACTGCCTCAAAGTAGAATAAAAAATTCAAGATTTTGTGGCAAAATAGGGGCTGCGCATCTGGGACTTCTGCATGTTCTAAGCAAAATTTGCTCCTAATTTGAATCTGAACTTGAGTCCAACGTATGGGAGTCTTGGACTAGACAACCTAGCAGTGCTTTATGGACTTACCATTTTAACGTAATTTATCACAGATGAACAATACAGCTTGCCATCAGGATGATTATTTAAATAACATTTAAAGGCATTTCACATTCAAATTCTGTTCTCAGCAATAACTGGAAACTTCACAGTCATTCACAAAATACAAACTGTGTATCATTGTACCCATAACAATTACATTACTCATGCAAATTACAGCAGTGGCACACTGGTATTGTAAACCTCACATAGACTGAAGCAGAAGTTGCCTGGTTAAAGAGAACAATTGAAACTTGAACACCTTCCTCCTATCAGTCTCTAAGATCAAGAAAAGACACTTCCTGTAAATGTTGTATCCATAGCCTTAACATCCATTGAATAACAACCTATCATTTGAAATAGCAGGAAACTAGAACCTCTGTGTCTAAAATTATGAGCTTTCAGCCTATCAGTAGTAAACGTATATTTGTGGCCCCATTCATTTTATGTTAATTCAGTGATTTGGAAATGCCATGCAAACACACGTGTTATCCTATAAGCAACATAGGTTTGAAAATGAATCCACCGCAAGTCTGGTAGAATTCAGCTTATGGATAAACCAAACCAATTTAAAAGAATAAGTGAAAAAGACAGACATGGCAAAAACACTGCAGAATTCATTTCAGAGGCATTTCAGTTTTAACCTACCAAGACGATTGGATTTCATCCATTCCCACAACTATCCCTGGGTGTCAGCATTAAATTCTGTTGTACCTGTAGTATTTTATTACTTAGTTGAATAGCGCAAGGAAACAATTTAGACAAAATGAAGACTGAGGTGTGATGGCTAAAATTTTACTGAACCATGTCTTAAAGGCTGAAACCAGCTAATGATTTTATTATAGAAGCTCTGGGGAAGGGTCAATATGCAGATCATCATCAGATATGCCATGCTTTCCTGGCAAAAGTACAGAACAGATGGGCCAGAAAAAGAGTTCTGCAATGCTGTAATTTAACTGCTCTGTTCATTTGCTTAGTTCTGCAAACAGATTTTGCAAATTTATGATCCGAGGTCTTCCAGGAAGAAGACTCTCAATCCACATGAGCAAAGTCACAGCGGCATAAACCACTCCTTAGCATCAGCTATATTCTCGACAGCTATCCTTGAATAATGATTACCAAACTGTTAGAGTAATCCCATTTAGCTACTGCTAAAGAGCTGGTCCACTGCATTGTTACTAGTCATTTCCTCTGTACAGAAAACTTAACAAAGGAGAAATGCAGCAACACTGAAGTTTATTAAAATTAACATACTCAGAACATTGCAAATCAAACATCAGAAGATTGCATCCTTTTATTTTTATTTAAAGATACAGTACACTTCATTTTTATTCTTATTCTAAAAGATAACTTACAGACAAGATACTTTTCCTCACTACAGACAATGGACATCTGAATTTCTAAAAATGATAAACACGCTGAAGGCACCAACAAACAGCTCAACTTCTAACAAGATACATTCTGACACCTTTTAGGATTATTAAAAAGAAAAAACAAAAAAATCAGTTACAAGTGTTAAATCTCTACAGATTTTAGTTAATCTGTCCAGTATTTACACTAACAAATCTAAGAAGAACTTGGAATAGCTAGTATACAAATTCTCTCTATAGACTCATTTAGTGCATTTCTTCTCAAACAGAACGTACCTAGCTAAAGAAATACTCACAAAGGCAAACTCAGCTTTAAAAGTCTGTGCAAAACATTCACCCTCAATAGACATCATGAATATATGAGATTTTCATTTTGCCATCTGTAGACACCCTCAGACTTAAATAAGAATTCCCTCCTGCGAGAGGACATACACACCTCTTTGAAAATGAAGAAGTTGAGTAGAACCATTCCAAAGTTGTAAACAACCAACAGGAAACGTAACTGGAAGGGCTCCCTTGTCTTCATCCATTTAGGGCCCAGCCAGACAGTGAGGAGATAAATAGTGCTTATAGTCAGTGTTGGAAATGGAGACTGCATCAAGGGCCAATCATCAACACGTTTGTCTGGGGGGGTGAAGCAAACAGAAGGAGTCAGTAAGGTCTGAACAAAATATATTTAATCATCATTTTAAGCATTGCATTTGTTAAGTATTATTCTCTCCCGGAATAGCTGCATCGGATAGTAGAAACACAATACACTCATTCTTTCTAGGAAGGTTAAAGAAAATAGTTTTAAAAAACCCCACTATATCACATTACCTCACACAGAGATTCATTATGTCATGCAAGTTCTATTGTGCAGTTCTACAATCGAAAACAATAATGCAAACAGAATTGCGTGAGCCCAAACCAAACCCACAAATTCCCCCCAAAACAATTTTGCTTATGATTAACAATGACTGCAGCGGCAACATAACCAACACCACCGCAAATGAAAGATACACAAATTTGGCAAAATACTGATAAAATTAATAGCTTTTATTAGTTTAAAATTATGCACTAAAAAGCCTCCAATTAATTTTATACAGTTACATGACGCTAACCAAGTACCTTTGCTATTTGATGTAGGTCAGTCACGTGTGTTTCAAACAGAATACTAACAATGTTACTGGAATAAAAGAGTTTAAAGGGATGGTTCTAGTTAGAGTAATCTCTGCTGCCATATGGGAGACAAAGGTTTTATTTACAGTCTCTTTCAGTCACTCACGTGATCCAGAGTTACACATACGCTAGGGCCCAGAATATGTTATATTAAGGTCTGGATCTGTATCAAAAAAAGTACTCTTCGCCAGATGAACCAGTGACATCTAGGATTTGAAGATGGCTCTGCTACAGAGGAGGGAAGGGAGAGACCACAGTGACACTGCCTTATTCAGTGTTTCCTTCCCCCCCTACATGAAGGCTAATCTCTAGTTATAGCAAGAGATAAGAGGGAACTACTCCATAACTATCAGTACTTTGCACAGCTCTACGATACTAACTGGATTGTTGTCCAGATGCTTAGGCTAGCTGGAGTTCAGACAGAAATCATACCACAGGGCTCCTTGGGAAGCTCAGACATCTAAACCACCTGCCTTCAGTCATTTGTGGGTAAACTCACAAATAGCAATGCAGTTGCTCACAGACTTACCTAGAGGACAAGTTTCTTTTGGAGAACTGTTTTTCTTCATGGTAACCCAAAGACAGTGAAAAAAACCTATACCATAAATTAATTCTTGATCCCAGGCATACTAACAGGTAAGTTAGAAAACCCTTCTTATCTACAAAATGAGGAACTCGGATACAATGAGGAAAGATACAATGAGAACAGCACTGCCATTACTCCTCCTCCACTTCTTTCTCATTTCCTTAGTTGCCCTTAAGATCATAAATTAGAACCTCATTTTAGGAGCAGATTTCATGAGACCCTCTATTGCTAATAAACAACACATATTGTGTTCTACAGAAAGACAGTGTGCATGGCACTGACTCTTCTTGCTTCCAGTTGATTTAATAATGCTTGATCTGCACATTGCAAGTAAGATGCTAGGAGGCCTAAAAAGAAGTGGAAAAGAAGAAAGAGAAACCAGCCAAGCTGCTTCCATTACAGCTGTTAATATCAAAAGAGAGAAGTCATCCTAATGCATGGAAACCTTCAGCAAGCTGACACTGCCAGAGTGACGGGAGTCAGCCTTGTGACCGCAGCCACCAACAGAAGCCAAGGGCAAGATAGGGCAAGGAATACAGGGAGGAGTGGCAAAAAATTAGATAGATCGGCTGTAGAAACACAGGCAGTGAAACAAAACTGAAGAAAGTGAGAGAAGACTCTTACTTTTCAGCAAGTCCCTGGAACAGATACTTCTATTACAATATAATGTACTCTCTGTAAAACATGAGAACAATTGCTTTATAGTACAGTATAGTGCCTTGGGATGTAAAGGAACAGCCCCATTTTCCAAACCTCACAAAATGCTACCTATTGAAGCTGCATTGCAATTATTACACTATCTCCCTCACACTTTAGTTCCTGCTTGCTTTTAGCAATTGCTCTACCAATCTGAATTTTAAAATAACACTACTTAAAAGACAAGAGAAATGGAGAACCTCATCATCCACCTGATACGAAGTAATGGGCAAAGACTCATCTCCACCAAGCAAGAAGAAAGGTGTCACTTCTTAATTAAGAGACAGCTGTGGGAATAGCCAACATGTGATATGCTTTAATCATGCATCTCACTTCAGACACTGTAGTGTGTGAAGAGTTAAGAGCAGGTGAGGCAAGAGGCCCAGTTGCTTTCCCAGCCTTCTTGCACTAAGCAATATAAAAGAGGCAAGGACATATTAAAGAATCTGTTTTCTGTTTTCTAACCCAGTGTTTCATGGTACCCTGAAAGCTGAAGTGACAATACGAAAAACATGAAAAAGGAATAAGATTTGAATTTTACCCCGGAGCTGAACGTTACCACCCGCTGCTGAAAATAGGAAATGATGACCTATTCCAGATTCCTTTTTGTGGCAGGAGACAGAGGTTTCTAGAGGGAAGAATGAGGATTCACTAGAGGATGAAAAGAAAAGGGGATAACTTTTATGAAAGCCCAGCTGCAAGTGAGCTTTGCCTCACTTTTCATCAGCACCATAAACAATTCTTTCACGTACTTTCCACAAATACTACAAATTGAAGACCTTAATTGGAGAAAACCAAGAGATATATTTAATTAACTCTGACAACAACATACGAGCACCTGGGCAGTTGCCATTACACTTCCATACCTGTATCACGGTTTCAGCCTGTTACTTTCACTCTGCACAAGATTTCTAAACAGTGAGCCACCACATCTCAAAGACAAGTCTTAAAGTATTTGCAAGAAAAGCATAGCTTACTGGTACAGAGCACATAACACACTTCCCAGGGAATCTATCTGATTGGGATTTTGGGGGCCTGACCTCTCCTAGGACAATTAATTGCACTTTGAACACAAATGCCTGTATGAGAGGGAATACAGTAGGCAATTCAGTTCTGGAGTGCATCCTGGCCAAAACAGAAGCATATCAATAGTCAAAAAGTTTGCTAAGAACACCACCTTGCACTTGTTTTGAGGGCATTTAGGAGACTCTGCATATGATTATTTTTCACTAATACTGTGGCATCAGAAAACATGCTACTATTCATCCCAGAACTTTCTAGATGTAGAAACTTGTTCATCACAAGATCTCGCCTGGATAATGCAAAATAACTTGTTCAGTTTTAAGTAAGTTCCACACACCATTCTTGTTGCTCAGAAGGTATTACAAAACCAATTTCACTTCAGTTTACCAAGCAAGCCTGCTTGTCTGTGCTCTACACAGAAAACACACAGTTACATGCAGACCCTTGTTCCAAACTTCTTTTCAGATACCCTCTTTCAAACCAAGATAAATTCACTCTCTTAAGTCATCTGCTTAAGTGTCAAACCTCCCAAGCTACTCCAACACCCTCCTCACTCCCACCCCCCACCCTGTTTTAGCAAAACCAGCATAATTGTGTCCTACTTACTAGCTAGTGCTGATGACCACAAATTATTTCTGCAAATTACAGAGAACTGTGATAGCTTAAAGGGACATATGAGTGTATTAAATCCTGCAGTACTTCACACGCAATAGGTACATTATTAGCTGAAAGATGAAATAAGCTTCAAATAAAAAGGCCAGCTCCCTGAATTAAAAAACCCCTCCAACTGCTTTGAAGCAAAATGACCAATGCCTTTACCTGATTAGAATTGACAGAGACTGACTGAATCTTTCAGAGGATTAACGCGTTTGTCTTTCAAATCCTAAGACCCAGATTCTAATTTGATCACAAATAAAATGTCTGTTGTGATGGCACAGCCTGTAGTACAGTGCTTTTTTTGTAAGGTGGGAGAAGTTTTAGAACAAACATTTAAAGTTGCACTCAATCGTAAAAGTGAATCCAGAGTAGAATAAGGCATCTGTTAATATGTTCCTGATAGAAACTTACTGTTAGGTAAGGAAAGAATATGAAATGTTTATATACACAAGGTTTTCCTGTCATTTTGTGTATATACATTTTAAAGTTTCACATTGCAAAGACAAGACAAGAAATAGAAGAACATGTCTATATTTTTTATATATATAAAAAAAAAAAAATTGAAATTGCCCTGAGGCACTTACCCTTGCAGGATTTAATTCTTTACGTGGGGCAATTAACAGGAAATACACACATAAAACCCTCTGATTTCTTCCTCCAAAGCAAGAACAAGAGCAGGACCAGTGAAAAGGACTGAATAGCCTACCTGGTAATGTCCAAAGAGGACATAATTACTCTATATTGAAATATGGAAGGCAAATGAAGATGAATTTCAGTAAGTAAGGCTGCACTGATGGTGATCTAGAGTAACAAATCACAAGAAACTTCTCTGAAACATACTGTAAGTGGTTTAATATGCAAATGCTTCTGTTAAATGTGGTTCAGCATTTCCGTTCCAACAGAGAGGATTTTAGATGCATATTACTGAGCCTATGATAATTTTTTCCTTCTTTCCTCAAGAAGTACAAACTTTAAAAATAAGCAAACAAATGCATAGCACGGTTGCTCCTACATTCATCAGGAGAAATCCTGAAACAATTCAATGGTGATTATCTCTGCTTTTAATATTAGTTTTAGAGAAAATATTACATAAATAAAATATGTGACTTTTGAAATTCCCTGCATTCATGTTAGATTCAAAATCAATACTTAGTAAGTCTTTATTTTCACTTTAACAACATATGTATTCCTTAGCTATAAGGTCACTACTCACTAATTTATCTGGAGAGCCTTTCAAAGTTATTAATAGCTATTGATACTATTCTCAGCGCAAAGACACTTACAGTGCCAATCCAGCACATCCATCTGTCCAATTACATTTCTAAAGACACTGCAGAAATGATGGTGACTGTTTAAAAGTGGTTCTTAACAGCGAGAGCTCTCTGCAGATCAAGCCGTTTATTTTAACAAGAAGTCCTCTCAAAGCCCAATCTGAAGTTTAAGAAGGATTTCCTTAAATGAGTGAAATTTTAATTCCACAACATAAGGAAGGTAAATCAGTATCACCTAATGGAAGTATTGTTCTATGAACTACACTG